GCGCTGGCATAGCTACTGACTTTGAAACACAAATAACTACAAACAGTAGTTTCGTATACTAACGTGTTTGTGCACGCTTAACATTGGTATTTATTATGTTGATGAAGTTTTACAGTTGCGAGAAGTCAGCTTGTGTTATACACCTTGTGAACTGAATAACTAATAGAAAATATAATATTAGTTACATTTTATTAAATGAAATTTAAAAATATAGCTTAGATATCTGCCAAGTTTGTGAATGCTCAGTGTGCATAAGAAAAGAATCAAAGATGACTCAGAATTCATTGAAAAAGTTCAAAACAGATTTGGGCAGCAAACAAGACGATTACAATTCTTGTTTGATTAAACAATTTTTTAATTGTTAGATATCAATAATTACTTAATTATTTGTTTTTGAATAAAAATATTTGTAATAAAAAAAAATTTATAAAATTTTTTTTCTGTATCTTTTTAATTGTTTGAAAAAAAAAGCCAGGGGGGTGCAAGAGCACCCCGCTGCCGGCGCCCTTGATAGTGTTTAAGTGCATAGATAAAAAGTGGAAAGAAAGTGCACCTTATCCCCTTTAAGTATCACACCATATTGGAATTTTGTATGTAGTTTTTTTTTATAAATTTCTAATTTAGTGACAGATTGAAAGTATTTATGTCCTAATCACAAAATAGTACATATAACAGATAAAACAAATGTTAAAAAAATTTTATGCTTGAAGTTAGACGTCACAGATTTGAACCCTAGGTCGAACATTCATGATTGATAAAAGTTTTAATTGTCTAGTCAAATGATCACAACTTAATCTGTGCAGATAATTTCCAGTTTATGCTACCAATATTAAATTATATTTCACTTTATAAAATATTTTAAATGAAATTCAGGTTTCATAAATTGTCAAACACTTATGATTAAATAACATACTGGTTTTCAACCACAGGGCCGCCCAAGAGACATTTTATTAAGAGACATTTTATTACAGCGTATTCAGAGCAATTTTTTAATTGTTTAATTCCCTTTTGTTTCCTCTAAAAAATAAGTACATTGAAAATATGTTCCCTTCCTTTGAAATAACGTCAATGTTTCCGAGTGTGTATTCGCATGTAAAAGTGTGACTGAAGTGATTATCTATTTTTCATAATGGCTAGTTTAAATATTAGTTGTACATTATTCTAAATACGTCATTTCTGTTAACGCTCAGCTACAGCCACATCAGTAATTTTCATTGCATCCATTGACGACCCCATGAAGATTTGTGCCCACAAAATTTGAAAAATTAGTTTCATTAGAACCGTATTTCTTTTCTAAACTGATGCTTCAAACACTACCAGGAATCGCTACAAACCTTTTTTTTTGTATCGCACTACTCACTACACTACCATGGGGCATAGCGTTTTGAAAAAGTGCTTAAAGGTGCTTATTTTCGTTTTTCAAAAGCCCTTTAAGGTGCTTTTTTATTGGGTGTTTTTAAAAAGTGTTTAATTTTACCTTTTTAAAAATGAGATTTTTTTCTTTACCATGTCGATTTTCGCCACATATTATGCAGAAGCGTGGTTTTCACATTGTTCTATTCAACGTTTTCACAATGCATTGCCGTGTACCTTCGGTCCGTAGAAAGCGTATGAAAGTGCCAATCATTTTACTTGTTTGTTGAAATACTTGCAGGTTCACATGTGGGTCTACTGAACTGGGTTCGGTGAGATTCTTGCACTCTCACGTACAACTCTGCTGCATTTTGCATGGTATTCTCAAATTCAGGCTTCATTTTCCTTTCTTTGAAATTGAACCAAAAAATCTTTCGATCTTTTTATGGTGGCTAATGTAATCAAGAAAAGAGTTCTTTGTCAGAAACTAGTTATTTTATCATAATCATGTAAAGTCTTTGAAAATTATTTGGCATTTTGTTAATGTATATAGTGCTTAAAAAGTACTTAAAATGCGCTTATTTTTTGTTGAAAAATTTGGCTACCCACCTTGACTACTTTTTGAAAAAAAGTAACACACTTCACTACAAACTACAAAAAAATAGCAACTACAGTAGTTTCACTGCTAGTAGTGAGCTACTTTCGACCATTGGAACTGATATTTCCTTTTTATACGTATTTTAAGTGAATAATTTCCATTTGTATTTTGTGACTACAGTTAATGTTCATTCTTTATTTGTGTATATAATGTTTTAGCTTTTTTAAATATTAACTCCATACTTCTTGCAGATATAAATTATTTTCATTGCCAACGTATTGTGGAATTATTGAAAGAAACCGAATCATCCACGAAAAATATTTTTGGTCAGTACTCGTCTCAACGGATGAAAGATTGGCTGGAAATCGTAAAGCTATATGAGAAAGACGATATATATTTAGGTAATTTTGCATACATTTTATATATTTGATTGTAATGACATATTTTATATTTTGATATTTAAGAGAAGAAATAAAAAATCACTATAAACTGAAATAATTTTAATGTTAATTGATGAAATTTTAATTCCAGCTGAAGCTGCTCAATTATTAGTTCGCAATATCATATATGAGTTACCTTCTCTGAAAAAGCAGTCTCTTAAATGTAAGCAAATGCAAGAAGTAAGTAATAGGGTGGATTTTTTATAAATTGGTTTTGATCTATGTTATCATTAAATTTTAAGCATTAAATATTGCATAAATACTTTCTAAAAGTTTTCAGTTACATATTCAGTCTGTCAGACTGAAAGCTGTAGTATAATAAGGGAAATTCAAATACTGTCGAACCTCGTAAACGTGAATACGCTTAACGTGAATACGCTTAACGTGAATTTTTTTTAATGTGAACTAATTTGAATCCCCTGTCAAGTTGCATACAAATATAATACTTAAATGTATTTTTAATGGGAACATGCTTAATGTGAAATATCTTCTAAGGTGAACTAGAATTTTATCACCTTTGGGAAAAATTTTACTTTTAATGTGAACAGAAAATTTATTTCTTCTCTGAAAGGTATGGAAAACTAATCCTTCGCAGTTCTATATCTATGAGTTGGTTTTTTGTATGCCTTGTTATGGTTGCAAGATTACAGCAGTCAAATGAGTCATATGAATTGAATCCATTGTAGGGGAGAGGGCATTACCAGAAACAACATAAGCCTTTTTGTTCTCCAATATGAATAGAGTTTTCTTTCACCCCATGGGAGGGGACGCCTCATGGTTGTGAAGGTAAAGAAGCATGTTTTCTTGAGAAATGACAACCCCACATAGATTGTCATTTCACCCACACTCTTGTAGGTTGTTCTAAGAAATTGATATTGCTGAATTGCATTTTTACAGGTGAAGACGTGCATAGCTAAAATTTTTCTTAAATTTCACTGGTGAATACTTTGGTTTTCTTTCCTCTGATAGAATGAATGAAGTAATTTTTTCCAATGAAGCAATTTAAACTTTTTATTTTTTTGTAATGTAAAATGAAAATTCAAATCTTTTTTTGGATATAATAATTTTTTCATTTCAATTATTTTTCATACAAATCATTTTGTGGAACATTTTTTTAGAATACTTTTGTAAAGCATGTGTAAATAAGAAATCAAAACAGCCACCTATTACTGAGTATTATATTAGTTATCATCTCTAATTTGTGTAATAAATCAGTTTATTCCTATTAGTTAGTTACTTAGCTGTAATTTTTTATTTGCTTCTACTGAATTAAAAAAAAAAAAAAAATAGAGCTCCGAAAGTAAGTACCCTTTTTGAGTTTTGTTTAAACAATATATTTTTTTTCTACCTTTGTAACTTATATTTTATTTTTTAAAGTAGCTGGTGGCATTTATTATGAGCTTTATAGAAGTTATTAATTTGATATAAAGCGCAAAATAAAAAAAATTTTGAAATGAAAAATATATTAATTAATATATACATAGATAATAGAAAATGTCTGTATTGTACAATTTTCATCAAAAAATTTATGGACTGATAATGTGAACAAATTTTCTGTTCCCCTTCGAGCTGACTTCAAACAAGGTTTGACTGTATTTATTTAAGATGTAAAAATTTATTTATCAAAAAATCAATATTTATTCAAAATTCATCTAACATAAAAATGAAAAACCACTGCTATAAAATGAAGAAAAAATTTAACAAGGTTATTGTGACAAAAGAAGAATTTATTTTCTAGCTTCTAAATGTTTGGAAAATTTAAAAATTCATTGTAGTACTATTTCTCTGCATATTATGGTACTTTTATGTTAGTAGGCAGATCCCTATATAAGGTAATAAACTACTTTAAAAGAAGTTTCAATATTCTTTTTATACACTAAATACAAATTGCATATAAAAAGAAGTACAAAATATGCAACATTCTTAATGGAAAGCTGTTTTTTATTATGCAATTATAAACTTTAAAATTTATAACAAATATTATCTGAACTGTAGGTTAGAATTTCTAATTCTTAATTAAAACAATAAAAACAAAAATATCATTCAAGTGATAAAATTCACCTTTATTCACAACTCAAGAAGCATTTTATGGGATCTCTCTGGTCCCATATCTCAAAAATATCACCAACTTAATGCACAATAAAATTAAAAAAAGAATTCTAAAAAAATTATCAAACAGCAGTGGTCGCCATAGCAATGCATGCAATGACGAGTGCACATAGTTTATTGTTACTCTTCTTTTTATTTATGTCCTAAGCTAATTTTAAAATTCAGCTCATAGCAAAATTTTTCAGCATGTTGCACTGCATCAAGCTAATAAGGAAAGTCTTCGACCTATTCGAAACTGCTTTATTGTTTAGGCTTATTACAATCAGCCTACATGCCTTTAGACTTATTAGAAAATGTGTAAATAACTCAGACTGAATTAGCTTTGGCTTATTGCAAAAAAAAAAAAAAAACAATAAGGCTATTTACAATGAACCTACACTACTTTAATAGCAAAATGCCTGATATGATTCAGGCTAATTAAGCGGTGGTAGGTATATTTTATAATTAACCTAAATGTATCAGAGCGAACTACAATAAGCCTAAAAAGTGTTAGATTTATTAGAAAATGCAGGGAACGCTTCCAATTAGATTGTAACCTTAAAAAATGAGGGCGTATGTTCACAATAAGTTATTCAATTGTCATGCATCATTTATATCCTATAAATTTATTTATTTTTATCTAAGATACAACATATTCATAGATTTAATTGTTCATTTATTCATTTTTTTAAGGAATGTATTAAGAAAGAAGGTGATTATGCCAAGAATGAACATGCAATGAGAGAAAACTATATTACTTCTTGTAAGCAACTGGGCATTGAAGTAAGATTATTTATGATGTCAATCTTCAGTGTTTTTAAATAGTCTTTTCAGTTCTCTAAAATACTTTTAAGAGAACTGAAATAGAAGTTTTTACGAAATTTGTGTGGAGTCTCAAAGCTCTTAATTCTCTAAAAAAAAAATTTAAAAATTGTAGCTTTTATAAAAAAAAATGTTTTTTTTGTACCTATTGTTTTTTAGATTCTTAAAATGGCTCTTATGTTTGGCATCTTGCAGAGGAATCATCTGACATTGTAAAATAAGATTAAAATTCTTAAAAGTTTGCTTTTTTTCCCCTCTCGATTTAAATACGATCCTTATTTTTGGAACATGTAATTAAGATGCCCCCTTTTTTTTCGTCTTGCTTAGAAAACTTCTGAAAACTGAGTTTACTATTTTTAAAGCAAATACCTTAATTGTACAATAAATTCTGCATTAAAAACCCTTTCACGAGTTATTAATATTTCAGATACCATAAATATCAACCTTACTTTTTTGTATCATTGAGTTTAATTATATTTCTCTATTTTTATTAAGTAGGATTTCTTCTCTCATCATTTTTTTTTTAAATTTTATTTTAGGAAATATATATATATTTTAATGTCTCTTTGCATTTTGTTTGAAGGGTAAAAATGTGAAAAAAGAGGTGCTATCATTGGTTGATGAGTTACCTACTACTCTCAATACTATAGCTGCTTCAGCAAAAGAACTTGCTTNAATATATATATTTTAATGTCTCTTTGCATTTTGTTTGAAGGGTAAAAATGTGAAAAAGGAGGTACTATCATTGGTTGATGAGTTACCTACTACTCTCAATACTATAGCTGCTTCAGCAAAAGAACTTGCTTCCTGCCGTGATTACTACTTCTCTTTTCTTAGTTTCACTCTAAAAGAGTAGGTATAGCTTTTTAAATGATGCTAGTTTTATCCAAAGTTCATTAAAAAATAGTTAATTATTGAAATCAAAACATGGCATATTCATTTTATTTAACACTTTTTAGCAGATATTACGCCACTAACCCTTTTATATATTTTTTTTCTGGTGCTCTAAATACAAGTAAAAAAATATTTTGATATTATTCAATTGTAAAAAACAGTCTAATACTTACTAAAAAAATCTGTTAGATTATTAGAATTATATTTCTATTAAAATAAAAAATTCAAAAGAAAGTATTTAAAAGAAAAAAAATTTTCATTCATGTTTAAAAATATATTAACAATTTATTTTGATAATTAAAATAATATCAGTGATGAATAACTGATTCTATTATATCTAAATAAGTGCAAATTTGAAAAATTATTGTTTGGAATTAAATTATTAAAATGCTAAATATAATATTTTTCCATTATTTTACCAAAAAATCTATACAAAATAATGAAAAAAGCATGAAAAATATGTTTAATAAAAATTCTACGTCAAAGGGAGTCATGCTAATTTTGTATTTTGACTTGCAAAATTACTTACTTTAAACAGACAATATACCTGTATACCTTTATAATACCTTCTATACCTGTACAATTCAAAATTTTTTTACTTATTTAATGAAATAATAAAAAAGAATAAATATTTTCTAAAATTTATTTTTTGCATGGGATAAACGAATGTTATAATGGTGTGGAAAATTTTTTCAGTTCGCTTAATAAGTTCTCCGGATATAGCAAAAAACGAAAGAAAAAAAGTAAAATTTTCATTAAGGGATCCAAGCTTTAGACCACTCTCTTGACGAAACTATTGTAATCATATTTCACCTATCCTCTATATTTTGATGGTCAGAAATCTGAATTCGTCGAAAAAAAGGTATGTTTATTTAGAGAAAGTACGTTTTTGTGTCCGATTTCGTGTCTTATAATATCATTTGCACTAATTAATTAGCATATTAAGGGTCACCCCCTCGAACCATTAAGATTGAGTCCTAGAACATGAAGATCCAATCATTAAATTGAAGATTATTAAGGGGCATCCATTTTTTTTATTTTACGCACTGTAAAGCTCTGCTTATCACCTTCAGATAACTCATTTTACTTGTCATGAAGTTATTGTGACTGAGATAGCGGGAGTGCAACAGGCAAATCTTGAATTCACAAAACGGGCAAGTATCGGCAGTTTAGTAGATCAATGTTTAATTATCTAAGAATAATGTGAAATATACAGTGACTAATGGTGGAACCAACAGCTCAGTTTCTGTTCAAAATATAAAACTGATGCAAATTCTTCCTGTCTAAATTTTATTTTGCATATATATCTTTCACTTAAAGAGAAACCAACAAGTAAATTAAATTATTAAATTTAAACAGGCTTTTTCTAATTTAAGTAGTTAATGTAATTTAAAATTAATCATCTCCTTCTAAGAATTTTATTATTAATGCTATAATTTTATTGAATTTGCTTTTGACTTTTTTACTATCATATCAGCCACATTGCCACAATCATGTCGTTAGTCTCAAAATTGTTGAGCCTTAACCTCCATGGCCCCTTGGCCCACAACAGGCTGTTGCAGGAATGCCTTGCTTACTAATTAATATTCAATGTATTGCTTATAAGTCAATATTAATGTCTTGAACATGTTATTGCTTGTTTGTTAAATCCCATAGTGGACTGATCATTAAGACTCGGTTTCCAGTAGATCACCAAGGTTAAACATCACGGGTTGTGATAAGTGTGTGGCTTAAAAATTAAGTTTTATTTTTTAAAAGCTTAAAAATTATTTTTTAAGCTTTTTTAAAAAGTATTGTCATTAAGATAGAATGGTCACTTAGGTCCATAATGACGTTTTAGTTGATGTCACACTAGCGATAGGATCAAATTATATTGTCCATTAAAATTTCATGACAAGGTGGGTTTTAGCTGAGCATACAAGACTTTGCGAAAAGAAACCTTATAATTACCTAGATTTAAGATTTTCACCTTGAGACTAGCTTTAGTGAATGATTTTTTCGCTCTTGAAAATCCTAAGTCAATCTTGATTTAAGGTTTTTATATGGAAGGTTGTTTTCCAAGGTTTTGGATTAGGGTAATGTGCATGAAATGGAGCAGATTGTCACAGATTTCGTTTTGAGGTTCGAAGGTTTACACTTAAACCACATTACAAACCTTTTTAGTTTTACAGTAAAAGGTTTATGCTGAGTGAAAATAAACCTTATTTTGCTATCTGGGTGGGTGGGTGTCCACTTTGATCAGTGTGGAAAGAGACCAAGGGTGTGCGGTATTGGTCCTCGTTAAACTTTTCTACCATTAAGTGCTAGACATAACGTGCAGTTCGTTGGGCTTTCCCTCTGCAGAAGATTGAAATTGTCATGCCATGTCTTCTGATCATCCTCAGGGATGTTTCCCAGACTTACGTCAATAGCTCATTAAGCAGCGCCTGTAGTTGTAGTCTACTAAACTACTGCTGCTTATTTGTTAATTGTTTTAACATTAACTAATAAGAAACATGTGTGAGAAATAAACAATTTTTTTGTATCTTGAAAGTTGTTTTTATCATGACTTGTCCATATCAGTTTTTGTTTAACATTTAGATTTCTTCATTCTATAGATTTTTCTTTCAATTAAATTAATGAAATAACTATTAATTTAGAATTAAAGATGAAGCTTGTTTACCTTTACTGAGGCACATAATTGAGAAAGGTAATACTACCACATTTGAATGGAGAACTGGAGAGGCACCTGATGTTGTGGAGGTAACAACTCCAGCATTTCCTTTGGACGTTGATTGTACAGGTTCCGATACACCCGATGATCAGGTACGTTGGTTGATTATTCTTTAGCTGTTTTAAAACCTGACAGGAATTGGAAAAACTGGATATTGAGTTGGCCAGAGATTGAAAGTAGCATACTACTTGTAGTAAAATCACTGTAGTTGCTATTTTTTTAAATTCTTACTATTAGTTCAAATCTCCTTATATCTTGTCCTTATATCCTTTAATTCTATGAAGAACATTACGTGGTAGCACGTGTATTCCACGTCACCAAATTTACAATTTTATAGTTATCTGATACCACATGCCTTTTTTTTTCAATTCCTACTATTTGTTCACACTCTCCCTATATATANTAGAGGTAGACCACCTACTCGATGGCTCAAAGACACTGAAAACGACCTCAAAGTCCTGAAACTTAAGAACTGGAGGGGAGTTGCCATGGACAGAGGGAGCTGGAGAAGGCGTGCTGTTGAGGCAGCCAAGGCCTGCAAAGGGCTGTTGCGCTCCTGAAGAAGAAGAAGAAGAAGAAGATACCACATGCCTTTTTTTTTCAATTTCCACAATTAGTTCACACTCTCCCTATATATATTTATATACCTTGTTCACATTTTCAATCATCCATTCAAGATCAAATTCATTTTTTTTTCTCTTGTAGTGGATGACACTTGATGTTAATACAGTTTTTCAAATATTAATTCATTAGTTAAATTAAATTAATTAATTTTAGTTTTATACAGGAGAAAAAATTATTTAATAAAAAGTAACTAAAATAAAATTTTTCTTTGTTGACCTTAGTAGGAATTGACTTATGTTATTATTTCAAAGTTTTTAGTGTAGTGTGTTATTTTTTCAAAAAAGTAGTGAGATATACAAAAAAAACAGTAGTTTGTAGTGATTCATGGCTACTACTTTAAATGTTAGTTTGGAAAAGAAGCACGGTTAAAACGCAATTAATTTTTCTAATTTGATGATTATAAATCTTCGCAGGTTCGTCAATGGATGCAATAAAAATTACCCTTTGGCTGTAGCTGAGGGTTAGCAAAAATTATGTATTTAAAATAGCATGCAATTAATATTTAAACTAGCCAATAAATAGATGGAAAATAGATAATCGCTCTGGTCACACTTTCAATGCTAATGCACTCTCATGAAACATTGATGTTATTTGAAAGGAAGTGAAATAAAAGACCATTAAACAGTTAAAAAATGGCATGTAATTTGCATACAAAAATGAAAGTTTTGTCCTCAAAGATGCACTTCGTTCTAGCAGTCCAGTTGAGTTTGATGAAGAGCGATTATGCTAACTTTCGTGTGAAAATTAGCTTCAAACTACAGAAAAAGTGCATGAGAAAATTAACTTTAAACCTTTAAAAAATTATAGGAACTTAGCTGCCAACTCAATCTCATGATATGAATGATAAATCTTATTTTGTATTGAATATTTTTCAGGATTATTTTTATAAAAAACCAACCATTCGTAGTACTATTTGGCACTATTGTCAATTGAGTAAGCAACTTTTTATGAAATCAGCTTTTAAGTTTAGAATAATCACAACACCTGTAGCATAGCAGCTTCTCCTCTCAAGGAGTTTAAATAAATACTATTTTCACAATCCTTTTTTCACCAAGTAACTTTTCTCTCTTTTTTTTTTATTTCTCTTCTAATTTTTATTTTTATGTCAGACATAATTTTTAGCATCATTTGATTAATTTGGTGCATTATCATAAGTTTTTTTTTTTTTTTNATCAAAAGTTTTTTTTTTTTTTTTAGCTTTGATTTTGATGTAGCAGCATCTAGTTTTTGTACTATTAAACTATCCATTTAATTCAATCTGAAAGACCTTTTAATGGTAAAAGTGAGCAGTTGCCTCCATATTTCTTCTTGCTGTCGTGTTTTTGTTTGCATTGTTTATTTTTATTCTTGTTCACCAGGCATTGGAAATAAAACAATTGACTAGTTAAAGCAAAATTACTATAAATTTTCTGCTTAATGTAGTAATATTTTATTAATTTTTTCAAGATCTTCTTTCTTTGGTTCTTCCTTATTTTAATTCCAACCGACTACTCATCTTTGTATAATATGTTGTTAAGTCATTGTATTTTTTTAAATAAATTAAATTCTTAATTTTTTAGTGCCTCTTTTGCTTCATTTTTACATGATAAAAATATAAAACTTTGTAAAAAATAATAAAATTTTAGTTTTGTTCATGAATATACTAAATGCTAATTATTTGACAATTTCCTTTTAGATTAATACATATTTTATTTCTCCAAATAAAAATCAGTAAAATTAAATTGACCAATTTGAAATAAAAGTTTTAAAAAAATAACTCTTAATTCTCTTTTCATGTTAACCCCCTATGAGTGGAGCCCATGGGCAAAATTAAACTGAAATTTCTCTGCTCTGTCTACTTCCTCATTTAGTAATAAAGAGAAAATCTATTACTTGATGCAGAAAGCTGGCAGTTGGAAAAAAAGGCTGGACCTCTTAAGCATTAATTCTGAATTTTGCCAGCTTTCTGTGTTAAGCAATAGATTTTCCGTTTGTTATTAAGTGAGGAAGTAGATGTAGCTGATTTCAGTTTAATTTTGCCCATGGTAATATCACTTTCTTCTCCATGATTTGTTGCTTTTGTATTCATTGAATGTAGTCAAGTGGGTATTTTTGTACCTATTTAATTCATTTTTCTTCTTTATTTACAACATACTGATGTGAATTATTTTGTTTCTTTATAGATAGATTTTGGGGATCTCGGTGGACATTCTGAATCAGGTGATGATAGAAGCTCCATTTCTCCTAATGGGGATTTTGTGCATGTTGATAGAGTAAGTCTTAGATAGAGTAAGAGTTTTTCAATAAGGGAAGGGGAAAAAAGGATACTTTTCAGTTAAAAATTTAATTGTTTGTTGGAAATAAAAATTGTTGGTTTGATTGTTGGAAAAAAATTTACAACAATCAAAATGCAAGCAAATTATAAGAGAATTTTTAGATTTACATTGTGTAGAAATTCTCCGATAATTTGTTTACGTTTTGATATTTTAAAAGTATTTTTTAACCGTTTGAACCATCATGGTTTGCTCTAAGTTCACCAGAACTTACTCTTCTCTAAATTTTAATATACAAATGGAAATAAAACAGAATTAGCATTAAAAAGTTTATCCAATGGTATAGTGTCCTCCTAAATAAGTATCAAAATTTGCGGCCTGTATAATGGTATGCTATGAAAATGTTTTTCAAATTTGATAAGGTAAATATAGTTATTAGGATACATTTTTTTTAATTGAATATTTAGTAAAGTCTTTTATAGGAGCCAAATGTTTATTATTTAAATCATCTTTATTTATAATTCTCCTGACAAATGATGGCATGCACTTCTAAAAAACATAGAAAGGAAACAAAAATATGATAAAATTGCAAACAAAATATAATATGTATTAGAAAATTGGATTGTGAAAAATGTGACAGAAAACTTTTTTTATGTAAATTATTATTTATCTTTTTTTTTCTGTTTTCATGATTATTTTTTTATATACATTAGGATGAATGCAAACCTGAAAATGGAGAACAAATAGATTTTGGAGACTCTGAAATCAACTGGGATATATCTGTGGTGGACACTACTGAAATAAGTTTTATTCAAACTCCTAGTGAAAGTGAAGGTAAATTAAGTAATTAAATTGTATTTTTAAAATGATAATTTGAATATTATTTTAATTTATTGAATTTTGTTTTCTTTGAATTTTAGGGATAAATTCATTCTAACTCAACTGACTGAAAGCTAAAATTGTCTGCACAAAGTTTGACCTATACCACAAACTTACTCATTCAAAATTCAATTTTTTAAAAAAATTTGCAGCTTTTTAAATTTAAAGCTTATTTGTAGTGCATTCACTATGTTTAATTTTTGCTGAAGCCATGGCTGTTCGAAATTTTTATACAAAATTTACTATGTAATTGTTTAAAATACTAATAATAGCAAAATAATGCTCTGTCCTTTAAAATGAAGAAAAACAACCAAGAGCCAGAATAAATAAAAAATTCGGAAATATTTTACTTCTTGTAGAGAATGAGGTTTCCCTTGCAATATTGTTTTGCATATTTGAAATCTAATTGAGAATAATTTTTTTGCAGGTAGCAAAGTTGCCAGAGGTACTGACGCATTATCAGTTCTAGAAAATGAATCCACTCGAAATTCATTTTACAATGACTTGATAGAGGTACAATTTTCATTTCATGTAATTTAAGCTGTCATTTTTCTACTGGAAAGAAGGCGTGCCAACATGAGTGGCTAGAGCATACATTTTTCTATAAATAATCATTTTTGTGAGCTTAGAAAAATTTTTAGGGTTTTAGTAATATTATATATATATATGTGTATATATATNGAGAAAAAGAAAAATTATTCAAATAAAATATTTTTTTAAAAAATATTTTTTAAAAATTGAAAAAAATATATATTAAAACAAGGGAAACAAAGAAATGAAAAGACTCCTTTTTGCAGATATAATCGCTTGAGCTGATGAAGAGATTATATCTTTTTTTTTTTTCTTCGGCTTTTTAGTATATAATTTTCTTAACTTTTTTTTTAGTATTTTAATTTTTCTTCTTTTTTCATTAATCTTTATTTTTCTCCATGTTTTTTTGGCATTTTTACTTATACATACATATATATATATATTAGATATGGCAGTTAAAATTTTATGTTTTCAAAATATGTATAAAGTTTTTTGAATGCTTGTACTGAAAAACAAATATTCACCTCTTACTACACACTCAATTAAAATACTCTAATTAAATTTACACTTGCACAGAAAAAATTAAATATTTGGCATAACACAGATAAAATTTAAATACTGTTCAATTAATAAGTCGTAGACTAAACAAAAAAAAAAAACTTGCATTTTAGTGACATTTAGAAGAAATGATAATTTTATGAAAGCAAATACATTAATGCAAGCAGACTATGAAGCACAAACACATGTTTTTCTGGAAAAATATGGGAGGTGAGTTTAAAAAAACAATTGTGACCAACTATTGTGACCAAACTATTGTGCAACTATTGTGACCAAAAAGTGCTTTTAAAAATGTTTTGTAATCTGTGCACTGTTTATGTAACAGGCAGATCTAAAATGTCTGGCACACCTGCTCCTGGGTTGATTTGTTCTGCTAAATATCACCAAGTGAAACACAAAGCTAGCTTAAACCATTATTCTTCTTAAAATAAAATGATTTTTAACCCTAATGCTTGAAAGATTGTGAATAAAGAACAATCTTGTGAGAGTTAAATGATAAACCTACTTACTGCTAACTCTAGCCTGCACTAATAGGGCATGAGCTTTACTGATCTTAATATGTTGCTCTTTTAAAGATATTTTAGCTATTTATTATTGAAACAATATTTGTTTCTTCGAATTTTTTTGGCACACACTGCAGCTCATTTTAAGCATTGCTGCCCTATTGATTTTTTTTCTCTCTCTTCATGTCATTGTTCAACTTTAAATGAATGGATTAAGATTTTGTAAGATGAAATTTAAAAATAAAAAAAAACTCTATTTTCAGTTGGAATCATTTTTGGAGCAAAGAGTGCGTGAAATTGAGTCCTATAGTGGTGATGTGTTAGCATCAAATTTGTTTCAAAATGCCCCTCCTTTGTTACAAATGCAGTCAGTTGATGCCATCAAAGATATGCTAAATTCTGTAAAAGCTATCTCTTCTCAGCTTATGACTACAAAATTAAAGCATCTCTATCTCATAAAAAGCTCACCTAGGTAGGTAATAAGTTTGATTATTATAATCACTTTTAAATTACATACGGTCCGTAGCGTTTTTAAGAGGCCCTTAAAGGTGCTTTTTTTTCATTCGGTGTTTTTAAAAAGTGCTTAATTTTCCTTTTTAGATTTTCGCCCAGTATTATGCAAAATTTTCACCTTGTTTTATTCAACGTTTTCACAATTCATTCAACCACAATCTATTTTGGTGTCCCGTCGGTCGTTAGCATATAAAAGCACCAATCATTTTACATGTTTGATAAAATACTTAGGAGTCCGCATGTGCGTCTACTGAGCTAGGTACGGTGAGATTCTTGCACTCTCATGTGCAACTCCACTGCATTTTGCAAGATGTTCTCAATTTTAGGCTTCATTTCCACCCTCTGAAATCCAGCCAAAAAATCTTTCGATCTTTTTATGTTAGCTAATATAATCAAGAAAAGAGTTCTTTGTCAGAAACTAGTTATTTTATCATGATCATGTAAAGCCTTTGAATTTTTTTTTTATTTTTTTAGTGCTTGAAAAGTACTTAAAAGGTGCTTGTTTTTGTTGAAAAATTTGATAACACGTCCTGTTAAAAAGTTGAAAATCTTTTCATAGCCAAGGACCTGTTTAGAAATAAACCATTTTACTGTAAATTTTTAAAAACTCAGCATTCTGTTATTCAGTGTTTAATTTATACATTTTCACTGGAGGAAGAAAAATAAAGTCAAAAAGTAGCATGTGCAATTGTTTTTCTTTTTGTAGCTTCTAACAGTACACTAGACTTTCATTTAACCATTATAAGATTATTTGGGCTCATCAAAAAAGGAAGCAAAAATAGACATATAAGTATTAACATAAAGTCATGGTTTAGTGGTTTAACCAATTGAAAGTTACTGGAATTCCTATGTAACATCATTGCATTAAAATTTTTGTTTATTGTCATCTTTTTGTATAATTTAAATTATAAGTGTCCTATTGGCGTAATAGTTTGATGTTTTCTATTATTTTTATTGAAAACTTTTAATCAGGAATAATTGGACCATCTTGGTTGATAGAGAACCTGCTGTATTATTATTTATTTTTTGGTATTTATTTTAAACATAGTTTACCCTCTTTTCCTAGGTATGTTGATAGATTGGTAGATACTTTAAAGAGCAAGCTTGAGACGGCTGAAAAAATGGTTGAAAATCAGAAGGTTGTGAAAGCTAAATATCACGAAGCCGTTAATGAACAGGCATCTATCGAACCAAAAATAGATCTTATTGTTGAGAAAACCAAAGTGCTTCTGTCTCAAGTGAGTTTGTTATCGCTTTTTTGTATCTTAACCCTCTGATCATCAGCTTTTTCTGAACCGTTTTTTTTATGTTATTGAATAAGAAAATAGTGCGTAGGAGGAAAGTTTCGGAACAATTTTACCCAGGGCTAGCACTTGGAGGGTTAAGTATTTTGTTATTGTTAAGTATTGTTTATTTATTTTTTTAAATTTTATATGTGAGGAATTATATAGGAGGATCTCAATGTGCAATTTTAAATTAGGTTTATAGATGCAAAAAAGGGTTTGTAAGAGCTTTCAAACATTAACATAATGAAAAAATTCACAGAAAAATCTGTTTAGCATTGAAAGGGCGGAACTAAAGTCATAAGCAAATTTAAACATTTAGGGAAAATATTTTAAAAAAATAACAAAACATTAACAATAAAATTAATTTTAGCAGATAGAGCTTCTTACATGCAGTTGCATGAAAAATAAAAATAAACTATCTTATGAATAAATGTAAATATATATTTACAATTAGATGAGGTACGTCTTAATGGGGAGAAGACATTGTTCCTGTTTGCTTTCGTAGAGAATGTCAGTAAATATAGGCTCTTTTTGAAAAATAAAATTTCTTGTGACAAATGGCTGGCTGCCACAAGAATATTCTAGTTAAGAAAAGCTCTTTAGTCAAATTCATACCTATGAAATACTGAAATAATATATGAATGATGAGATTTTATTAAATCAGGACTTTCACTACATATTTGATACACTACAATCCAATCCACTACATATTTGATCCACTGAAATCCAATCCCCTACGTATTTGAATTTTGTTCATTTGATTCCGCTTTCTATCTAAATTTTAACTGAGAAATTATTCTAAAATTAAAGTATTAAAACTGAATCGTTAAAAAGCCTTGTCAGCTGTTAATTTTTACCTATATGACCAATCATGGAATTGCCTTTGTTATGTAAATGCTGGTCATTTTGAGTTTTGAAGGTGTTTTTTCCTGTTCTTATTTATTACACTGTTTCATTTTGTCACTCAATATTGCTTGTGATTGACACTTTTATGCCATTAAACTCTACATTCAAACTTACTGATTCATCTTTTAATGCTTAAGTTGAAATTTACGTACCATGTTTGATAAAATGTATTGTAATAGCTTTATTATGATTTAAAGAAGGAGTATTGGATTTACCTGTTTAAAGAGTAAATTTAAAGTTTTCTGCTAAAGATAGATAGGAGTTTGCTCTCTGAGGAATATTTATATTAGTGATGAAAAACATTTTACTAAAAACTAAGGCTTTTAATTAATTAATTTTTTAGTTTTATAATCTAACAAAATGTCTAACAAGAAAAGTTTAGCGCTATATATATTTTTTAATCTTTCTCTGTGCTTCTTTTTTTTTGTTCTTATTTAACTTACTAATTCTATAATTCTAAATGACTATTTTTGATTAAAATGATTATTTTATTTTTTCTCAAAAGCATTCATTGTGGAAACAAAACTGATTAGAACAGCAAAACACAGTTAAATAAATAAACTTAAATATTTAACACATTTGCGCAAAACCTGTAATGGAAAGAAGAAAAAAAACTTTATTGTAGAATAAATAAAATCTCCCTTGACAATAGCCAGAGATATATTGTAGTTTTGATGCTGTTTACGAACATTAATGAAATAAATAAAGTCCTCAACAATGTAAGCATAGAAAAATTTATTCTCTGCCATTGCTTTGACATTTCACAACAATCTGTGTATAATTCTAATCAATTTTTATTTGAATTTCTTACTACTGTTTTTTTTTCTTAACTTTTTATTTATGTTTCATTTCATGAAAATTTTGAAATTACTTTCTACCCTCTTTGCCTTCAAAGCTGTATTTTGAAACTATTTAGCAGAAAAAAAATTATTGAAACATTGTTTGAGGGTCCTAAAATCGAAATATAACTTTCATTTTAAATACAATATTATTGAGAAGACTTGTCTGGGCTTTCAATTAGATGAATGTCAAATAGTTTCGATAAATATTTAAAAAAATATTAACTGTTCCAAACAGTTGCCAATTTTGAAAGATTTTTTTTTATCCTGATCCAAATTACTAAAATCGATTAATTATTTTCAATCTTTTAATATTTTTATGATAGACAATGTGATTGAATAATTTCTCAAGTGTTAGGAAATTTTATCACAAACAGCTTTTACTTGAAAAAAAAAAAAACTTTAAACGATTTTAAATTTTTGCATCATTTTCATTTTCAGAATTATTAAGTAAAATGATGCAAAAATTTAAAATTAAAGATCATTTATGATCTTCTACTTTATTTTTTGATATTATTGTTGATTTGATAGTAATGTATTGTTATCATTGTTGATGATGTTATTGTTAATTTTTTTTTCAAATGATCTTTAATTTTATTTTATCAAATAATTTCTCAAATATTAGAAATTTAGACCACAAATAGCTTTTACTCTAAAAAGAACTCTAAATGATCTTTAGTTTTAACTTTCTGCATCTTTTTCATTATCAGAATTAATAATAGTAGTTAAAATTTGAGAAAACTCAATTGTTATAAATAACTGTTGCATTTTTTGTAACATGTTAAGTCAGTTGTAAAAATAGCATATTCATCATCAGAGCAAAAGAAAATATTTAATATGACGACACTACACTAAAGACAGCTTGAGCTCAAATTTTTACCCTAAAACTTTTTATTCTGTTTCATTAGGTTGAAAAGGACATATCTAAAAGATACAAAAATCGACTTGTGAATATCATGGGAGGAATGAGCGCTCTACAACAGATATCAGCACACTAACTCTACATTGACATGACATTATACAATTAAACTGTTTCTATCAATTGTAAATACAAGTAACTTTTTTTTATTGATATAAATAAACTCCTGTTTACGAAATTTAAGGAAATACAATGCATTTGGTTTATATTATTTATGTAGCTCAAATATATCTGTTGCCGAAATAAAAATATTTTATCTACTTAATGTATATCTTATTTTTTAATTTCAAATCTAATTGAGTTTCACACACACCTAATTCTAATTATTGACTTACTAACAATGATGCTATTTTTAAATTATTATAGTTTTGTTTAAAAATATGCGATTTTTCTTACTCTATTTGAAAATTTTTTTATCATAATGAACATAAAAAAACAACACAAAAGTTTGAAGAATTAGATTTTTATTTAAAGAACTCTTAACTCAATACAATTCTTTAATAGAAATATTGTTAGGTTTTTTTTATGTGCTATAATTTAACTCATTTACCCTGCATAACTTTTGCTATTTTTATGTAAATTTTCTTCTTATTAAATATTTAATAAATAGCATAGTGGCGATATGCTAAAATTGGCATAACATATTGCCCATAATTTAAAAATTAAATTAACAATTTACTTAATCCTCTTTTCAATAAATGTAATCATATTCAAGTGTGAATAAAATTCTATAAATAGATAATCTTTCTAAAACTGTCGAAAACAAATACATGAAACTCTAGAACTGTTAAAAAATGGTTGCTGCAGATTAGATTTTGTAAAATAGTCCTTATTAACTCCTTACCAATAATTTTCTAATTTTGACAAGATACAAGTTTAGAGATGGTGTAAAAAGAAAAATAGTGTATAAGAAGTATTTCAATAAGTAGTAAAATAAGTAATTCTTCTAAGGAGAATAAGGCACATTTTTGCACTATAATTTAAAATTCTGCTTTAGGGATGGAATCCATAAACACAATTCAAGCTTACTAAGACAGAAAAAGAAATTTCAAGAAAAATGTTAATAAAAATAAATAAACTTACATGTATTGAAATAAAATATTTTCCCATTCGAAGGAAAATATGTAGATACTGTGTTAAACTGCAGTATCTGCTGCCATGCTAGAAGGTTTCTGCTACTAACATGACCTTTTTATGATTTTTCGCAGGCAAGAGGTGTACTAGTGAGGATTTGAACATTATTGACACTCTCTGCTAGATTTATTTCAAATATAAATTATCTTCAATTATAAAATCTTTCCATAAATACAAATTACTTTTTATTTCAACAATACTCAGTCTACAATTACTTTTTTCTTATTCAGATAACCCGCAGTGGACTGATCGTAAAGACACGGTTCCTAGTAGAGCACCAAGTTCAGCCTCACTGGCTGCGGTCAGTAAGCAGGTGGGTGACCACTTAGATCAGTCTGCGTAGAGGTTGAGGTTGCGTTGTATCAGTCCTCGTTAAACTGTTCTACCTGTAAAGTGCTCAACTTCGCGTGCGGGTCGTCAGGCTATTAAAGCAGGGGAGTCATCCCCTCTGCAGAGGATCAAAAATACTATGATGTGTCTTTGGATCATTAAGGTTGTTTCCCTGACTGTCGCCAATAGCCCATTGTGCAGCACTAGTGCGACGTAAATAGAAGTACCTACCTTCTTATCCAGATAAAAAAATTATCAACATATTCAAAATTTTGAAGTCATCTTATGAATTTTTTTATATTTATTTTATCAAATTTTCAGCAACTAATCAATATGGAAAAGAAACATAGATGCATGGTATGTTAATGGCTCTTTTTAAAATTTGATACTTCTTTAAACCTCAACTTAACAAATAATTTGCCTTTTGATCTTTATAGGTAATTGTCTTCATCTATTTAATTCCCACTGCCAAACTTTGAATTACAGATAGCTTCAACAAAAATTTATTTCTTAGTCAAAATATGACTTGTTAAATTTCTATATGCAAACAATATAATTATTTTCTCCATAGTCGACAAATGGCATTTTCAGTTATGTGTTACACAATTGTTAAACGCTATGGTGTGCACTACTTCCTCAAAAAATTTATCACAACATTTTTGAGACACCCTGTATTCATTTGCTCTAAAATGTTAAGTAACATGTTTTTCCACTTAACTTTTAAATAATTCAAATCTGTTGACTTTAACCCTTTTGTGTACAAACTTTTGAATTTATCATTCAAGTCAAAATTTAGGCAAAGACATTAAAGAAACATTTATAATAGAAACATCATTTATTTGAGTGCGGTACATAAAATACAAAAATATAATACAGTAAATCACAATAAGTATAAAGTCAGTATTACTACATGGATATATAAATGAAAATATATTTGCACAATTTAATGAAGCAGTAACACATAACAATATTTTAAAATATATCTTTAGAAAACCCCTTATTCCTCTATTCCTAAAGTAAATGAAATCGCTAAGACATAATTTTTACAGGAACTAAATAATTCAATTTCCTTTATTGCAGAAAAAAAAATACAATTACATGACAAGTAATCACTCACTAACATGAAATATTGCTCAGCAATTCAATATAAAAATGTAAATATATATATAATATATGTATAAGTGTGATTATATAAATGTATACTAAAGCAAAAAAAAAAAAGATTTATAAAAGTAATTATACAATCAAATACTTATTGTATAAAGATGTACAAAAATATCACAAATACTTGCTTTATTTGTAGAAACATTGGAGAAAAATGCAATTTTGAAAACATTTTTATCAATTCATTTCTTTATTTTAATCACCTACTAAGTTTTCTAATTTCATCTTACTATCATCAAATAAGTTTCTCAATTGATACATTTGTCTAGTTAAGCAACTAATAATGTACAAAAACTACAAATTTGGTTGTATTTTATGTAGCTCTTAAAAATTCAAAGCCAAGAAAAATATTTTCTGATAGTTTTTTTTTTTTATTCAATAGATAGATCTGTGGTTAAAAAACTATCTATTAATATAAATAGGTATTTTTTTATTTATTTATTTTTTGTCCAACAGACAAATCTGTATTTTAAAAGTGTCTATCAGTATGAATATAAGTTTTTTTTCATCTAATAGATTTGTGGTTCAAAAAAAATTTCTATTGCTATGAATATAAGTTTTTTTATCCAGTAGATAGATTTTTGGTTCCGAAAATCTCCTGATGTGAGTATAAAATTTTTCATCCAATGGATAGTTTTATGCAAAATTTATGCAATTCATGCAAAAATTTTATTGATTTGAGTAAAATTTTTACATTGATTTTTTCTTTTCGCAAATTGAGAGATAATTTGCTAATATCAAACTCATATCAAAAGCTTCATTCAAAATAATTAGGTTAAAAGTGACGTAATGTATGGAACCTTTTAATGATTTTTTTTTTTAAAAAATCACTTCATATTTCAATATGTTTATAAAAAAGAATTGTTAAGTACATATAATAACAAAAGCGAAATAATAAATTTCTAAAACAGCAGCATCTACAGGAAGACCATGAAATAAGTTCTTTTCTCCACTAAAATGAAATGAAATGGATTCACAATATAAAGTTTGTTCTATAAAATTCGTTCATTAATTTATTAATATTCCCAGAACGTTGCTGTATCGAATGTAGCACCATTTACTTTGAAGGTACCGTTTTTCTCAGCCATCACGTAGCTTCCGTGAGACGTTTTTATGCAGAGCTTGGATGGCTCTCGAAGCTCGATGAAGAAACCATGCCTGACGTCAGAATCCACTGTTATGGTTCCATCTTCACATACATTCCAATATTTACCATTTGAACCTAAAAATATAAATTATGCAGTTCATATAAAATAATATTACTTGTGTTTGGCATGATTATTGGCGATCAAAATGAACTCTCTACCTATGGCAAAACTTAACTATTAGCGTGTGGAGAGTCATAGAAGGAAGTATGCTAGTTTTCAAATAGATTTAAAACTTTTAACCATATGAAACTGAAGAATACATTGAACATGGTTCCAAAAGAAAGCGCCGTGGAAATTTTAAAAAAAATTTGTAATTAAATATGAAAAATATTAAGAAAAGAAATTACCCATTACATTCCTATACAACTGAAAATAAGAGGAGAGGGAAGGACCAAAGGCATGGAACCGGTCTTCTCCCCAGATGGCGTATTCGAGCTTGCTATCGCCTATTGCTAAATATAGGCAATCGAAATCGACTACAGGTGGCGTAGAGCAGAACTCTCTACCCATGGCAACACTTTACTATTACCGTGTGGAGAGTCGTAGGAGAAGGAAAAATGTTAGTTTCTGAATTGATTTTCAAATAGATTAAAAACTTTTAAGTCAGGAAACCATATAGAACTGAAAACTACATTGAACATGGTTTCAATAGAAAGCGTCGTGGAAATTTTAAGAAAAAATTTTGTGACAATTAAATACGGAAAATATTAACTCCTTCCCTTCTCGCTCCCGTGAAAATGACGGGGTGAATTTTCACTCGCTATTTCTCGCTCCCGTGATATTGACGGGCTGGAGTGTTCAGTAGTAATGCGCCAATAAGAATAAAACTAATTCATTTCTTTTGTCCGGAAAACATTTTATTTCTCATTTTACACACCATATAGCAGTGCCAGGATATTTTTAAGGTAATTATAAATAATTAGTTTATTTTAAACTAGATACTAGCACTACTCAAATACGTGTATTTGGCAAAATAGACACTTTTATGACCGTTTTCTTGAAAATTAACCGATCGTTACGGGGTTAAGAGAGAGGAAAATATTGTAGTGCATTCCTATACAACTGAAAAGAGTGGGAAGGGTCAAGCCATGGAACCGGTCTTCTCCCCAAATAGCGTATTTGAGAGTTGCGACAGCGAATCGTCGGTAAATATCGATCTATCGTTATACTTTTTAAATTTACATTATTTTTATAATAACCAATATGAAGCCAATTCTTAACCAAATGAAGGTCGCGGTAGCCCAGTGGTTAGAGAATTATACTCCAGTTTGAAGTGGTCGGGGTTCGATCTTCGACTCCGCTAATATCCACCAAGTGCATGCGATATAAGAGCTCGTAAAATCTGTGGAATCGAAAGTCCTGTGGCTCTTTCACTGAGCAGTACCATGGGTACAGGGATCTGGACAAAATTTCCTTCCCCTTGAGATCTATGTCTAAATTGAGGAAGTAGCCTTACAAATTGTGATGGCTCGGATTATCCTCAGGTATGTTTCCCATACCATCGCCAATAGCCTATTATGCAGGTATAGTGCCACGTAAATTAAGCACCTACCTTAACCAAATGAAATTAATAGTCGCTTTTTGTACCAGCTTGGTCACTCACTCACAATTGTCTTATGCAACATATTAACTTCAATGGTAACCGAGCCGAATACACAGCACAAATTTATTTAAATATTTCGATCCTAACACCTTTGGTTAATATATTATTTAGTTGTACATATACTATATATGAACCAAATTTTTTTTCTCTGTCTATCTGTTACCTGCGCGAAGGTACTTTTATTTAAATGTTAACAATTTTCAAGAGATGCCCGCGATTATGTCAAAGTTCCTTATAAATTGAATTTTAGCAATAACTTAAAAATCTGTCTGGCAGCTATTAAATTTCACAAACCACTTTAAGTATGAGTTCGAGAAATTTCGGCATGGTGGGCAGCATAAGTATTAAAATTATTTCCATCCATATGAAATAGTATTATTAAACCTAAAAATACAAATCACCCAATCCATATGAAATAGTTTTGTGACATAAGCAATATCAAACTTTTATTATTGCGATTTAATGCAGAAAATATCGATCTATCACGATATTTTTAAACTTCATTATTTTTACGTTTGACAATTTTTTCTTCAACCAAATTAAATTTATCAACACTAAAGATAATATCATAGTGAGTCAATAATATTATATTCGTGTGACATTGTATTCGATATGAATATCCGTATTATATCGGATTCGATATTTATCGTTGACAGTGAACGTACTTATCGTATTCGATAAGTGTTGTTATCGATTATACTCATGATATTATCGTGTTCTATGTTCATCGTTGTCAATAATTATCGTATGTATTCTTGTAATGATACATCCGAAACTGCGTGTCTTTCTTCTTTTTCAAAAAAAAAAAATAAATAAAAGGTGTGTGAGAGAATAAAAATTCAGAAATCCGGAACATTACATAAACCCATATTTTTCATTTAAAAGAAAAAAGAATGCTACTAACCTTTGAAAAAAAGTTGAAATACAACTATTTATTTCACTAATCTCTAATTAAACCAGCTTTTAAATTTGTGAGCAACAAACACGCACTAGCTTTGAAAAGATAGAACAATGGAAAAACAGGAAATTCTTCGGAAAAGAACAAAAAAAGGTTTCGCAAGAAAAATGGGGAGGGGCCATGAAAGCTGTATGTGGGGAAGATGCGTTCTGTCTTCTCACACTAATAAATAGCAAAAGAAACAAATTCATTCTATTATTCTTTTTCTTTTCATCGTTCTATGTTGAAAACTTTGGAAATCCGGAGATTCATAAAATAACACAAACGCTATTTCGAAATTCTTGATACGTAAATTTTAACACGAAAGAGGAAAAAAGGTCGAGAGACTGTTACAAAATGCTTTGTGTCCTTCAAAAGAATAGTATATAAAGTAAAATATTTAGTCTTTAAAGGCAGTGTGTCCTACAAATCCTATGCTAGTAATGCTTGAAAACACTTAATCCTATTTTTCGAAGACTATCGTTGTATGAAATAACGTTTTTTTTACGTATATATATATTTTATTTTATAATCGTCATTGAACAGCCGACCCAATTTAGGGTTTACGACTACCAATGTTCAACTCCGTAGCCTAGTAATTTTGAACATAATCCAGAAGACAAGGGAACTTCTGGGTGAAGTATTGGGAGAAATTTGCTTTCGTAGAGGACTTTTTTGATGAAGCTAACACGCTTTGTTAGGAAAACCTCCCACGGTTAGCATGACGGCAAGGGGATTCTAACCTATTATCCGCCTACCACTGTGGATATTTTACGGCAGCACTGTGGTCGGTGCAAATTCTTGCGGAATTCGTATTGACCAGCCATCGCTGGGATTCGAATCCGGTTCACCTCTTTGGAAGGCGAACACTCTATCCCTTGAGCCATCACGGCACAAACGTATATATATTTTATTTTATAACCGTCGTTTAACAACCGACCCAATTTTTGGGTTCACGACTCCTAATGTTCAACTCCGTAGCCTTGTAATTTTGAACCCAATCCAGAAGACAAGGGAACTCTTGGGTCAAGTATTGGGAGAAATTTGCCGTCGCGGGGGACTTTTTGGTGTAACTAACCGTCATTTGAGTTACATGGTGAGGAAGACCATGAGAACCACCTACGGTTACCAAATATCCTCAGTGGAAGACGGATCATGGGTTTGAGACACCTTGCCATCAACCGTGGGAGGTTTTCGTGGTTTTAATCTTCGTGTAAAACAAATGAGAGTTAGTACCTTCAAGAAGTCCTCCACAAAGGCTAATTTCTCCCTATTCTTGATCCAAGAGTTCCCTTGTCTTCTGGATGGGGCTCAAAATTACAAGTCTACGGAGTTGAACATTAATAGTCGTAAACCCGAAATTTGGTCGGCTGTTCAACGAAGGTAATAAAATTAATTGTTTAAAACTAATTATGGTTGAAAAACTAAAATATTTAAATACAGTTGTGCTGTCCATTCGGCTTGGTTACCATTAAAGTTTATATGATGTAATTTTGGAAGGTGGCTAAAACTGGTCGCAAAGGTCGGCTTAGTTAATAATATTTACCTTTAAAGAAACACAATCCCTTTTCATCTCTCTCCACTGTTATTGTTTCGTAGGAGGCTTTATTGCATTCTAGCTTAGGATTAGATAGACTCTTGTAGCCGACAAAGCCTTGTTCGCATTTCAGAACCAGGCTTGGTCTGTTGATGAGATAGAAGTAGAACCGGGCTTCGTCTTGATCGCTGCTCTCACCATTGGCGTACAAATGGCCGCTTTTTTTTGCTATGATGCACTTGCCATTGTTTGCCACAAAACTGACGCTGCCGTCATCTTGCCACTCCAGAGAAAAGAGGCTGTTGGCTAATCTAAAAATTAACAGGAAATTTAAAACAATATTCGTAAGCATCTAAACAGCGCACAAAATAATAATAAAAAAAACAGAACAGCGCATTTATAACTTTTGAAATAATGGTCAGATTTTTACTTACTAAGACGCTATTTTAATGGTTCGAGAATTAGAAAATTTGAATATCGTATTTCATAAGCGCAGACGATATTTTAAATAATTAAAACAGACACAAAAAAAATATACTTTCTCTAAAGAAATATGCTTTTTATCGACACATTTGGAGTTTTAAAACTAATTAATTGTTGCCTCAATCTTGAAAATGTGGTCCAAGCCAGCGGATTACTGACGTTGACTTTTTCACATTCTACAATATACATTCTGCTTGGATACATTCTACAATAATATAATATGGTACAACATATTATATTATTGTAGAATGTATATTAACTATATTCTTTAGAAATATGATTTGTAAGCAATATTATACTTTTAAAAAAAAATTAATTTTATTAAATTTACTGCACAAAAGTATACTAAATTTTAACAGTTAATTTTTACAGATAAACTCAGAGTAAACTCTAAAGTTTCGAATGCTGAATTATTTTTCCTTCAAAATACAAGCAAATTATAGCAAAATTACACAGCGGAGAATTAATATCGTGCAATAATTTGGTTGCATTTCGATATTTTGAAAACCCTTTTTTTTTCAGCTTTTGAAATTTAAATCAAAATTTAAAATTTTAAAATACCATTGGAGGTGAAACAAAATTCACAATGAAAAGTGTCTTCCGTGATGTAGCATCCTCTTAACAGTAGAAAATAACAGTTTAAAGAACTATTTCTAAAAAATTTAGCATTCTTCGTGAATGCCATTTTATTTTATCTTATTTTTTAGCATTCTTCTTGAATACCATTTTATTTTTTACATTTTTATGCATACATACATATTTTATTTCTCAAGTCTTTTACAACAGTAATATTCTATGTAGACATGGTCGGCGGCAGCAATCGATTCACTTAAACGAACAACGCTAATACTTTCATAACAGTGATTGAGAAGCTTCGTATAGGTGAACGTCCCGTCCATTGGCTGAAAGGATCTGTCAGCAAGACAGTATGACACGTGAGAAGCTACAAGCTAAAGATAGTAATTCAAAAGATGGCATGTCGGGTAAAAAGATAGAGTAATGTAACGAGAAAAAGAAAAGTACATTCTGTCGACTGTCAGCAGCCATAGCTATCACTCTCTGAACAATGGTTAATTATGGAGGTTTTTTGTCGGATGTCTGTCAAGCACATGTTGGATAAGATATTTTAATCAGACTTTACTTATTGTTTGAGCCGTATTAGAACGATGGAAGGAGAGTAATTTAAGACTTTCTCAAGAGAATATGATTTAAATAACAATCAGTGCAATAAAGTAATTAAGTAGATAATTTTTTAATAACCGTTACCGTTATTAACGTACCATTTTTTTTTCTATTGTTTTTGTCTGTAGTTAATTAAAGGTTATTCTCACAGACCTCACAAATAAAAATTTTAAATTACCTTAGTCGCCAAAAGGAAAGGTTTAAAATAAAAATTAGAATAATAAAATAAATAAATAAATAAATATATATATATANATATATAATTTTTAGAGTTAAAATATGTTCAGTGTGGAATCTAAGGTCTTTTCTTGTTAATTTGTAGTGTTACAGTATATTTTTTTTTGTGCCTAAAGTTATTTAAAATTTTCCTTTCTAAAGTATTCCATACAAAATTTAACTAACTACTACTCACAACAATAAGGAAGAATTAGGCAAAATTAAAATGCATTCTTACAATAGCATTCTAAACTTCACATAAAAAAATTAATGAAAAATGAAAATTTTTCTTTCCTGCGCTAAATATTTGAAAAATGATAAGTTTTTTTTTATTTCGTAAATTGTATTTAAATAGCTCATAAATAGCTTTTAAATAGCTCATTATGCATAATTTTTTTATCTGAAATTTTGAGGGACTTCTGAGGTTTTTGATTAATCCCTTATAGTTAGTACCACTAACTTTTGTGTATTTCTAAATATCAATGGGAAACAAAATTTCACCTATGATTTGTTCTGCCATTTACTGATAACTTCAGAGAATAAAAAAAAAGATTATGAAGTGCTTTATTTACATAAAAATAACAGTAAAGGTTAGAGTGAGGTCAAGAAGAGATTTTAACACCGGAGAGCTATTTACTCTTAAACGTTATGCGCTCGTTCATTTCATCACATTTCATCAAGTTTAATTGCAATTATAAACACAGAATTTATAAATTCCGTTATTTATAAGTATGGAGGTTCAAGTTTATGGCCAATTCTTCATAGTAGGTAAAATTTTGAAAAATTTTCACCCATCTTCCCACCAAAAATGGTCTTAAAAATCAAATTAATTTAAGCTAATAAGCTAAATGAATTTCTTTTTATAAATTAATCTCAATCCTAAAAATATTTTTTCATAATTTTGTTGGAAAAAAAATGGCCCGATAAAAGATTAATCGTCAAAGACGCTCGTGCAATTTTTTTTAATTGATTTTTAGTCATTTTTCTTTACGTTAATTTAATTTTTTTTATATTTATTTACAAAATATTAAAACACGTATGGTATGCGCATCAATAGTTTAAATCTTGGCCACCGTTTAAATATATATAAAAAATATCGTATTTTATAATTTAAAAAACTTTTCTGGAACATTTCGAACAAATTAATTTTATTGAAACAACCACAAATTTTTATCTGAAATGTTAAATATTTGAGTTCATATCTCATCACATTAGAAAACATCAATATTTACAACTTGTTAAACTATTGACATTAAATTTGTTTATCTTATTTACGTGTGAAGACTTAATACTCGTGTACATAACAACAGAATAAATATATATGCGTAACTCACCCCTTATCAGCATTGGCCTGGATGCCAGAACTGCTCTGCAAACTCCAATATTTATCTTGCATAGTTCGTACGCACCATCGTTTACTTTCTATATCGTATTCTAATTGGAATATTTCATGATCCGAAATTTCATCTTGATTAGCAGTCACATCGACTCCTATGAAAAACAACAAAAATTATCTGTTAGAGAATGTTTTATTATATCCGGTTGAAGAAAATAAATAAATAAAACTTAAGATTTAAGAATATTAAACGATTGTGTCTTAATTTACGTTAAGGTCATGATAATGTTATAAAGACATAATAATCCTTACGAGCAGAAATAAAAAGCAAGTTTTTATTTTTGAAACATTTATTTTATAAGCTTTAGCTTGATAAAGAAGCCCCAAAAGCTCTAAACACTTTATTTTTAGCATGAATCACATCTCATTTTATTTCATAACCGGTGTTGATCAGCCGAGACCCAATTTTGAATGTACCTACGAACAATTTTCAAATCCATAGCCTTGTAATTTTGAACACAACACTGAGGACAAGGGAACTCCTAGATCAAGCATTGGTACTAACTGGCTTTCGTGAGGGACTATTCCGCTTTTGCGTTACATGGAGAGAGAATACACGGAAACCTCCCACGATTAGCCCGATGACAAGGGGTGTCTGCCCAGTGGCAGGACATTTTATGTCGCCCTTAGTCTGAATAGCAGTTAAAGAACATTAATCGGCTCAGCTAATGTTGTCAGAAACACGATAACAAGCAAGAATCGCATAGACATCGCACGCGCAGTCTAAATGCGCTGAATGCCTAGGTAAGCTCAAACAATTAAATGCCTAGGCTGAATAGGACAAATCTATATATGTGTCTAGGTAACAGTCTGGTCTTAATATGAGTCTAGGTAAATAAGCCTATGTAAGTTCGAACAATTTTAATAACTAGAAGCCGTGGATGGCTCAGGGGCCTCCCAATGAGGTGAACCGGATTCGAATCCCAGCGATGGCTGGTTGAAACGAATTTCGCACTCGGCTCGCATCATCCAAAGTGCTCACGTAAAATATCCTCAGTGGTAGACGGATTACGGGTTAGAGTTCCCTCGTCGTCGGACTAAGCGTGGGAGGTTTTTGTGATTTACCTCTCCATCTGAAGCAAATGCTGGTTAGTTTCACCGAAACGTCTTCCCCAAAGGTAAATTTCTCTCAATACTTGATCCAGGAGTTCCCTTGCGTTGTGGATTAGGTTCAAAAATTTAAGGCTAATAAAATACAAGTCGTTAACCCAAAATTGAGCATATAGTATATTTTATATCTCTAATGATGCAATAAATTACAAATGACAACTCAACTAAACCAAAAAATAATAATAATAAAGAATGGAAAAGATAAAATACTATTTCAGAGAGCAGTAACCACTGTCAAGTCCTTTACATTATTATCAACAGCATAATGCATGATCTTGATAATTATGCATAAAGACATTCTTAATCCTCATGGTTATTACATTTACCTCTCTGTCGCTCAAGTACAGAAAGAAAGAAAAACTTAAAGCCACGCGACAATACAACGGAAATGTTATCACGCAAGAGATGCAATGTTACTATCTTCTGGGGAACATGGCATGAAGATCTGAAGATAAAGATCTGCGTTACTCTGATTAGAGTGAGTAGAACAATCATAAAAGGTCAAAATTTTGGAAGCATGAAGGCTGCTTTTTCACCCTTCTAAGGTCAGCTCTCAGTTTTTGATTTCTTTGCAAGGATATTTCAGTTATACACATTACACTTTTTAGTAAACTACTTTAATAAGTGTTTGTATTGAAGTGTCCGGCGTTCCTAACACTTTTGAGAGAGTTGTAAAATGTTTATATAATCCTATACAGTTTGGTTAAAATGAAACCTGACAGAGTACTCAAAAGCCGGTACATCCGGTTCTATTGAACGAATCTGGATAAAACTTGCATTCGAGATATAAGCCGAAAAAAAAATATAGTTTGAACATGCCGCTCAAGAAGAAAGAATAGAGCTTTGATTCTAATATATATATTGACCAGATTAATACAATATTAGAAAGCACTCTTATTAGCGGATATAATCGTGTGAGCTGAGAACGAGGTTATATATTTTCCTTATTTTGCTTTCAGTTTTTTATTTAATTTTTTAATAAAATTTTTAAAAACATTTTATTTATTAAAAATCTTTCTATATATATATATATATATTCTTCCAACCATCCAAAACAAGCAGATCGTTGTGAAAAAATTCCATTAAAAATATAATTATCTTTTAAAATGTTTCTATTTTGATAAATAAACGCTGACTTAGAGTTGGATAAAAGCACTAAAGAGGAATGCCATTTTTTAAAAAAAAAATTTAATTTATAATATATGAAAACATAGATATCACCAGAATTTAGAAGTTTAAACAACTCAAAGCCATTATAATAATAGCCATAACTTATCTTTCTTATCACCTATTCTAGTTTCTTGTGTATTAGTTTCTATGATAGAATCACCGCGTTCCAGATAATTCGATCAGCGTATTCGTGACTTAAGATCATTCCGTGCATCCTACATTAGCCTTATATCTATTTTCGTTTACCCTATAAATTCGAATAATTTTATTTTATGAATAAAATAGGATACTATATTGTTATTAGTGAACGTTTTTCAATCTATATTCTTTTTTTTAACCCATTTCGGAAATATGTTAGCAAAAAAAATAATAATAATAATTCATTTTTAAAACTTTTTTTTTATTTTAAATATTGCTCTTAAGTTATGGGGAAAAAATACCACTACTATGTTTCGTGCTAAAGCAATTTTAAACACAAATATAAAATAAATGTTGCCTGTTTTGTCTACAATCTATACAATGTTAAGAATTTTAGATTGTCTCTATAATGTCATTCAGGACCGGGATAGCCTGGTTGTTAGGGCACTGTGCCCATGTCCAAAGGGTCGTGGGTTCGATTCCCGCTGGCCGAAGATTCCCTGTGTAGTAAATGGTGACTGATGCACGTTAAATCTGTCGAGTCTCAAAGTCCTCCATGTTCCCATAACAAATCATACCTTTGAGGGTACTGATACAGGTGTCCCCCTTGTCTTCTGGATTGGTTCAAAATTACAAGGCTATGGAGTTGAATATTAGTAGTCGTAAACCCAAAATTGGGTCTGCTGTTCAACGACGGTTATAATTTAATGTCGTTCAGAGGATAGAGAGTTCGTCTTCCAATGAGGTGAACCGGGTTCGAACCCCAGCAACGGCTGGTCGATACAAATCCAGTTCCGGGCTCGCACCGACCTTTAATGTGCTGACGATCAGTGCTGACGTAAAAATATTTTCAGTTGCAGTCGGGTCATGGGTTAGAGTCCCCTTGCCGTCAGGCTAACCGTGTGAGGTTTTCGGGGGTTTTCCTCTCCTTGCAAAGCAAATGTCGGTTGACTCCATTGAAAAGTCCTCCACGAAGGCAAAATTTCTCTCAATACATGATTCAGGAATTTCCTTGTCTTCTGGATTGGGTTCAAAATTACAAGGCTACGGACTTGAACATTGGTTGCCGTAAACCCGAAATCGGGTCGGCTGTTCAACGACGGTTATAAAATAAAATATAATGTCGTTCAAATTTCCAGCTACTTTAATCTGTGCCAACTTGAACCATGTTATCATACCTCTTATACTTGATTTCATGCAACTGTTATGGTTCAGTTTGCTAACTTTTTAAGGTTGTGGCGAATTTGAACCCTATTATAGTTCAAGATATGAATACTGTGGTTCAATGTTGACGTGGTATTTTTCTGGGCAAGTCGGTATGTCTGTATTAACTTGTATTTATTTATTTTTTGAAATCTATCATGGAAAATGTGCTTAGATAATTAATTTTGTTTGTTTTTTCTTTTATCGAGAACAGTTTTGCATTTGAGCTCTTTACGCTAAGAGAACTAATGAAAATTATATTACACTGCGCAAAAATTATTTAAAAAAGCAATTTTTCTATTTAGAATTCTTGTTGCTAAAATAGTTTAAATTTCAAGAAAAATATCGGTTTTTCTTTGCTTGTGTACATTAAACAATGGCTATATAACTATATAACCAATTTTAAAAATAGTATTATATGTGAGTATTTTTTAAGATAAAAAAAATCCAAGTTCTAAAGCTAATATTAAAACTACTTGACATGAAAGTAGTCATTATTATGTATGTTAAGTCATTGTAAGTAATTTCATTGCTTAGAAAATTTGCTTATAGAAAACCGATTTCTAGCGAAAATGACAATCTTCGATGATTAAAGTATTAAAAATAATTTCAAAAAAAATTTCTTTAAATTATATTAATATTTTTTTCCTTATTGAATATCCTGATAAACATAATGACATTATTTTTAATAAATAAATGAAGTATTTAAAGTGACATGTCTGAAATGGTGAAATTTATTGGAGCAACTTTCTCTTTAATCTCTTCACTCACTAACGAGAGAGCAGAGGTGTGAAAAACTCATCCATGCAAAGTTTTCCTGCTCTCCTCGAATTATTGAACTTCGAATTAAAACTTCATTAAGTGAAACCAAGGTGAACAAACTTTCACACAAATAAATAAGCTAGTGAATTAAGCGATCTGCATTTACGAATGAAATTTATTTACTTTAAAAGAAATTAAATCGATTGATAATTCAATTTAAAAAACTAGTAATGAATAAAAAATTGACTGTATGATGAGTATATGAATACAAATATAGATTTTATTATTTTTGTATTTACCAACTATTTTATATCTATTTTGTATCTAACTACCATTTTAAGTTATATTTTTTTCTATCCTTAGCAGTTAATAGACTTAATTATACCTGTTATTCAATTATAACTACTAACTAAACAATTTTAAGTCATATTTTTTCTATCTTTAGCATTTAATAGACTCAATTATACTTGTGTTTCAATTATAACTACTAACTACCATGTTATGCTATATTTTTAACTATCTTTAGAGTTTAATAGAATTAATTACACCTGTTATTCAATTATAACTACTAACTACCATTTTAACTTATATTTTTTCTATCTTTAGCATTTAATTGACTCAATTATACTTGTGTTTCAATTATAACTAATTATAACTATATAACCATTTTAAGATATATTTTTAACTATCTTTAGAATTTAATGCTAATCAA